AAAAAAAAAAAAAAAAAAAAAAGTCGTCCAAAAACTTTGAAACTGAACAACATTTGCCTCCGAGTGACATCCAAATTCCTTACCAAATTTGAAATAAAACTAAAATACAACCAAAAAAAATAATAATAGAAATAACTAATTTGAGGAGAGAATTAAAATCAGTGTGCGGGCGGGCACGTTTTGAACACCTCCATCTTTGGAGATTTTTCATTTTGTTTTGGCTTAGTCAAATTCCCTGAAAATTCATATGTGTGTATCTCACATTTTGGACCAGGGTGTGCCCTTTTGACCACCACTAACAAAGTTTTGAACCGGTGACCTTCGTAAGGGCTGGTATAAGACTGTTTTTCATAAAGTTTTTTGACGAGTGAGTGGTCAGGAGTTCGAACCACTTACCTTAGGATCGTGTGTTCCTGACAAGAATTAGGAGTTTAATTTTTCGGAGGCCCTATCACCGGAGGGTCAGGTGTGGTTTTGTTTTTGAGTGGAACCGACGAGTAGACATCTGCGATGGGATATAAGGGCGTTGTTTGACGCGCTCTGTCTTCTTTCGCCGAGTGACGGCAGGTGCGGCTGGGTTGGTGGACCCGAGGGAGGAGGCATGGTCTTTGTTTTGACGATGATACGTCGTCGATGGAACGATCGTGCTGGTTGTGACGAGACGAGGGGTTTTCGCATTTCTCATCACTCATCACTCTCTTGAACTTCACGAGACCACACTATTAACAACCACTTGTTAGCGTGTGTCAGTTTTTTCAGAGATAATGATGTTTTGCGATGATACGACTTCTTTAATCTTTCGGTCGTGTGCTGTGCTGCGTGTATTGTGCAGTCTATACTATTCTATCACTTAGGGTCGTAACCATCTAGGAAATCATACCTTGCGGAGGTGGCGGCTTTGAACAGGGATTCGAGAAGACTTTCGATCGAGAAGATTGGTAACACAGTTGCTAATGAGTTCGAGTGGAGAGTCCAGGGAAAACATGGAAGGAGGGGGGAGTGGAGGTTTACCTCCGGACAATCGGAGATGTTATAAATGCGGAGAAGGGGGTCACTTTATTCGGGATTGCGCGGAGTACTGGCAGGCAAAGGCGCTTGGACGTACGTTTGTGTCGTCAGCCTTAACGAACACGCAGGCACGTGGAAGATTCGTGACACCTAGTACGAACACTCTAGCTCGAAGGAGTCGGTCCGCAGAGGGCGGTGGAGAGAGAATCGAGAGAAGTGGAGGTGGGGATGATACTAACTCACTGATGCGTGAGTATTTTGTGCAAATAAAGGAGACTTCGGTTGGAAAGAGAAGCTGAAGAAGCAAGGCTGCGCAGGGAAGAGGAGGAGAGACGAATGAAGGAAAGTAGACGATTGAGAAGACAGGAAGAGCGACTGAGGCTTGAAGAAGAGCGAAATTCTAGCCTGCTACGTATCGTTCGAAGCGAGATGAGTAAGGACAGAGAAGAAGAAAGAGAGAGATACGAGAGAAAAGGGAAAGGAACAGCCCGGAACATCGGTCGCAATGATGCGATCGAGGTTGAGAAAGAGCGCCTGCGTCGTCTAATTGCTCCCGAAATCCTCGAGACTGCCGACGAAGCCAAGGACAAGGAGTTACGTAACTTGAGAAGGATGGCGGCGAGGATGAATCTGATCGAGAAACGGAAAAGAGGTCCTGATGTACCTGTCGGGAATAACCCTCCCGTGATGACGCCGGAGAAGAAGCCAAATACCAAGTTAACTGAAGAATCCAAGACGCGTATTGAGATTTTGAAGCAAGAGCTCGGTGCTGATCCCGGAGCTAGTAGCACACCATCAAAGATAGATCTTCCACTCAAGCACATTACGGCATCTTGTGGCGTTGGGGGTAAAGAACGTTTCGAAAGGGACTGTCATGTTTTCTCTGACTCCTTGACAATTGACGAACTCAAGGAAGCCTGCCGACGGGAGAAGGTAGTATATGGGAAGAGAGAATTGGCGATCAAACGCTTGGTGATTCGTAGATCGGCGGTGGCATATGACCCAGTGAATATTCCTTTGCCGTTGACGCTGCGCACTGAAGCTAGGAACACTAGAGGAGTAACGATCCGTTAAGTCAAAGAGAGCATCGCTACGGACTTCTCTGATTCGGACACCTCCTACTCAAATGAAGAATCGGACTAGGACCCTTGTCGTCGCGACGACTATCTCGTGATCGCTGAAGGAATTTGTGAAAGAAGACTCAAGAACGAAGTGCGATGTCAGGAAGACGAGAGGATCCTGAGAGCGGCAACTATCGGTCTGATTTTGCAGGGACGTCTAAAGTGGGGTGAAAATTTTTTGGAGAACTGGCACGATGAAGTAGAGAAGGGTACCTTTGACTTATCTGAACCACGAAGTTGTCTCTATTTGTTGATTTTCCCTCGGTTTAAGCAAGCTTATGTTGGTGTTACCGAGAGGGGACTTTGGGCTAGATGGCGGGAGCACTTCAGTTTGGGGCGGAAGAGGGGGAAGAGAAGGCGGAAGTTGTATAACTGGCTTGGGAAGGTAGGCGCCCATCGCTATGTAGCCATACCATTGTTTACAAGAGAGAATAGGCATGAACTAGAGGCGGTAGAGAGCACCTTGATTAAACACTGGTCGGCCGCCCTGAACATCAGATCGGTGAAAGTAAGAAAAGCACCGAAGAGGAGCAAAAATAGACCAGGCAGAAAGGAACGGAAGAAATGGTCGAAGGGTGGGAGTCGGGGTATGGAAGAATATCGGAAGGAGAGTGCGAAGATTATCGAAGTACGAGCTGAAGGGCAGGATGTTGGATCCGTGAGGGTGGTTGAGATGCTGAGAACCTTGTGTAAGCAGAAACAGGAAGTTACCCTGCATTCTAAGGGCGGTAACACGTAGGTTGATGGATGGCGCGTGGTGCGGAGATTGTTTGGTGAGAGTTGAGTGAAGGTTAAGAATGGAACACGTGCGTTGTGGGGTTGCAAGAAGCTCTTCGAAACCGAAGGAAAGGTCACGCCGCACAGAGTTACGGAAGCGTCGTCGGCGGTACTGGCCTTACGGGATGAAATGGTGGAAATGTTCAAAAACCCACGCAAGCGGCTAGCGTTGAAGAAGAAGAACCTGTTGGAGCTCCCTAGATACTACTGCGCAGTTAAGGCTTTTACTGCGAAGAAGAGCAGATTGAAGGCTAGGACGATGATCTTCTGGATGATACGAGACTGTTTTTATGTGAATATTCGAACCAGAATTATAGCGAAGGTGAAATTTGACGAACGAATCCGTAAAAGGGAGGTGATGAGGGTAGTGAGAAAAAAGGTGGGGAGTATGAAGTTAGAGGCACCTATTAAAGAGATGGTGAAACGTCGTGCACGTGTTGTTTGGAAGAGATGCCTGAATGTGGGCGAGATTCTCCACAACCACCGACAGTTTGCGTCGGTGCGTGCGCCCAGCTGCCCCTGTGCTGGGCTGACCCTTCCTAAACGGAATGGGCATGTACATCTTCGAATTGGTGAACTAACTGACGTACCAGGGATAGTCGGTAATGCCAAGAATGTACCTCGCAGTGATCGAGAATGTAGGGATCGGCAGTTGGGGATGGAATTGACTTCGGCTTTTGAGACGTGGCGTGAAACCTCGAGACTGACGAAGGATGAATGCATTATTCATGCTTCCGATGTTAGGAGTTGCTTCGTCGTCAACGCCGAACAGAAAATGAGTCAGCTGCAGGATGTCTTAGCACTTAAAGAGAGGTTGAAAGGGCTTGTGTTGACCCCGTTAGATCGTAATCCTGGAGATACATTGATTTTGTGTCCTCGTTTGTATGATAGGGGTATGGAGGAGACGTTTTTGACTAGTGATGGATATCGAGTGTGTGAGGATACAGAGCAGGTTTTACTGGATTGAGCCAAGGCTGACTTCCATTTCCTTGGGTTTTCTTCCTTGGGAAAGTGGGATTCAAAGGGGAGGTACGAAAATGCCTACGTTTTACCTAAGCACAAGGATACTGTAAAGTGTCGGCCGATTTGCCCCACTTTCAGTGAACCTTCGGTAAGAGCGTGCAAATTGGCGGCAAAAGGAATCAATTGCTTGTTGTTTTCTCTGCCTGAGTCGGGACACCTGAATCTGCGATCGGTGTCGTCGATGAAAACCAAATTGACCGCAATCAACAATCGGCTTGGAAAGAATAGGCAGACCACTAGAATTGTTAGAGCCTCCTTTGACATTAAGGATATATTTAGCAGGCTCCCTCACGCAACAATCGTGTCGGCAATCGAATGGGCGATTTGGTGGTTTTCGAAGAAAGGTTACGATGGAGTTTTTGTGCAGAGGAGAGGGAAACTTGCTCGATTGAGTAAGAGTAGTCATTTGGATGGTTTCGTTTTCATTCCGTTTGATTTGTTGTTGCAATTTGTTGTTTTCGAACTCAAGTTTGCTTCACAAGGGTTTGCGGGGTTCTAATCCAGCAAGTGATCGACATACCAATGTGGAAGAGCTCTAGCCCCCCATTGGCATGTCTTATGTGCGGGAAGCACGAATGGGATTTCATGATCACCTTGGGAAGCCAGAGGGGAGTTTTTGCTGGGTTACGCTTTGTTGACGACGTTTCAGTCTTTGCGGCTTTTAACCGCAAGAAGGTGGGAGACAGAGAGAAGGCGGTAAGTTTCTTGAGGAGATTTGAAGGGTGTTACGATAAGGCACTCACACTGAAACGGACTGACGAGGAAGAGGACGAGTGAAATTTCTTGGGTTGTAAACTGTCGATTAGCCAGAACTTCCCCTTCCTCTGCACTGTGCTGACTTTGAAGAACGGAGAGCAGCTTCGTAATAAGGAGACACTCCCTTTCCGTACTTTCCAGGACTATGAGTCTAGTAGTTATAAGCAAGCAAAGATGGCAGCGATAGTCAGCGCTTTGCACAGAGTCGACCTGAATTCACATATGGGTTTGGAAGTGCTGGATACCTTGGTTTTGCTGAGGATTGAACTCAGTAGGCGTAACTACCGACGACGGTGGTTCGGGGCGGTACTACGAAGCTTCGAAAAAGGAAGGAAACGAATCTGAAAACTGTTAACAATGTTGCTGACGGACTTTCACCCCTCTGCTTTTTTATCCTTTTGATTTTTTTGAATTGTTAATTTTGTTTTTTCGAACTGTTGAATTGGTATGTGACTTGATGTGATGATTTTGAATTTTTAGGAAGGATTGATAGGAGTGATGGTTGTTTAGACCAGGGTATGTCCTTTTGACCACCACTAACAAAGTTTTGAACCGGTGACCTTCGTAAGGGCCGGTATCAGACTGTTTTTCATAAAGTTTTTCGACGAGTGAGTGGCCAAGAGTTCGAACCACTTACCTTAGGATCGTGTGTTCCTGACAAGAATTAGGAGCTTAATTTTTCAGAGGCCCTATCGTCGGAGGGTCAGGTGTGGTTTTGTTTTTGAGTGGAACCGACAAGTAGACATCTTCGATGGGATATAAGGGCGTTGTTTGACGCGCTCTGTCTTCTTTCGCCGAGTGACGGCAGGTGCGGCTGGGTTGGTGGACCGGAGGGAGGAGGCATGGTCTTTGTTTTGACGATGATACGTCGTCTTGACAAAAAAAAACATAAGTTTAGATCAATCTTTATCTGCTGAAATACAGGATGCTTCGAAAAAACAAGGATTTGCTAGAAAAAAAAGAGATGATCTTCATAAATTAGCTGAATCAAATCGTAGTTTTTCTCATTATCGTTGGTGGTAAGAATGTACATATAGTTCGAAGTATGCGGTGGCAACCTTACGGCTCGAAGAGCAGACGCTTCGCGTCTGAATCCCACGAAGGCGCGAAAGCGCGTAAGAATTTGACTGTCTTTGCGGATACCGCTAAATACATCAAAAGACTTCAAACCCAAGGTTTTAACGATCGTGCCGGTTGTGACGAGACGAGGGGTTTTCGTATTTCTCATCACTCATCACTCTCTTGAACTTCACGAGACCACACTGTTAATAGCCACTTGTTAGCGTGTGTCAGTTTTTTCAGAGATAATGATGTTTTGCGATGATACTGCTTCTTTGACCTTTCGGTCGTGTGCTGTGCTGCGTGTATTGTGCAGTCTATACTATTCTTCTTCACATGATACACAACTCGTTAAAAAAATATAAAAAAAAAATCAAATTGTTTAAGCCCCCAAACAAAGTGAAAACAAAAAGAGAAAAGACAAAAAAAAAAAAAAATAGTGAGTGGGTGAGCACGTTTTGACACCGTCATCTTTGACGATTTTTCTTTTTTTTTTGGCTAAGCACAATGATCTCAAAATTTAGAGGCATGTATCTCATATCATAGAAAACTCAGAAAAACATATTCAAGAAAAAACATATAATTTTCAGGCCCCGAAATATTTTTTGGCGGGGTCCGAACCTTTTCAGGTTCAGAGGGGTTCGGCCCCCGAACGGGACCCTGAACGCCCGAACGTACGGAGGTTGGCCCGGGGGCCTCCATACGTATGGAGGTTGGCTCGAGGGCCTCCATCGTGGTTTGTAGCGGTCAGGGATGTAAGTTAGGACGATAGAATGAATGTAAACAGGGTTGAAAATTGGAGGAAAACAGGGCGGCAGGAATTGAAGTATTTTTTGGGGTACTGTCGTCTGTGATAGGCGGGATTATTCTGGCGGAGGTAGGCCCGGTGTTATTGTAGTTGCTTCGATTTTATTAGGGACCCTGAATTTTGGGTTAGCCTTGTGGGTCGGAATGGAGTAACCTTTTGAGAATAGGGCCTTCGGACCCTTGGTGATTCTGGATGGGCGGTACGGGACCCTTAGACGATATTGGTTTAAGCGTCTGGGTACCGGTGCGTTTTCGTGAAACAATGGGCTATAATAGGAGCAAAGTCAACGTGGTTGTTCCTTTAGGTTCTGGAGTTGTTTCCCGTCCGCTAAGTCCGGACGAGGTGGTCGGGTACAACTGCAGTGGGAGAGGTGGAAAAAACGTCTGGGTGTTGTGGGATTGTCCTGGTTGTTGATTACCTATCGAGTTACTGTGTATGACTCTGACCTTGTGTGGTTTGGGCGCACCAGCGCCACGTGTATGTTGCACTTCTATGTGTTTGTTGCACTGTTTGGTGATTTTCACATTCTTATGTGAAATGCTAGCGTGAACTCCGCTGGAGATGACATGCTGGTGGTGAGTGAGCGTCGTATCGTGGATCACGAGAAACTTGGGTGATTAGTAAAAGTGTGCTTTGGTCGACAGAAGCGTGACAAGTGGATAGACGTACGCTTCATCGAAGGACTGGATGTCGAATTCGGAGAGATATGAGCGTAGCAGAGATGAGCGAGGTATGGATGATCGGGCGCATGAGGACCAGGAGCGGGATGTCCGGTCGAGGATCGGGATCGTGGCTATCGAAGACGAGGACCGATATGCTTTAATTGTAACGAGATAGGGCACTATGCCAATCAGTGTCTGCGGCCTAGGAGGTATGGGGGCATGGCGCGTCCGTCAACATCCACGGACTCCCTTAGGTCAAGGTCCCCATGACGCGGGGATTGGAGACGGGAACCAGCCACGGAGCAGGATCGAGGGGTGACCCAGCAAATCAGTGAGCTAGGTAGAAGTGTCGCGACAATGAAGCAACACTTTGAGGAGGAACGGATGCGTAAGGAAAATCGTTTAAGGCGGAAGCAGGAAAAGGAGGAGGAGAAACGAAGGGAAGAGGAGAAGCGACGGGAAGAGGAGATGCAGATCCGTGAAGAGGAGGAAAGGGCTATTCAAGAGAAGAAGGCTAGGAAGAAGAAGGAAAGACGAAGGAAGGAAGCGGAAAGCCCCGCGGAATTGAAGAAGGATTTGAGTATGCAAATGGTGATGCAGCTTGGTGAGTTGGAGGATAAGTTTGTGCGGTGCATGAAGCAAGCGATGACGGGGCTAGGTAAGCCGGCTAGCGAAAAGAGTAAGGAGGTGAAGCGTGAGCCGGCGTGCAGTGGTAGTGGCAGTGAAAGCGGGGCGAGCATCACCCAGGACTTGAGTGCCAGAACCGCCGACTTGGTTATTTCTGAGAAGCGTAAGCAAGGTCCGAACAGAGCGATTGGGAATAGTCCTCCGATGAAATCATCGGCAAAACGGACACCAAAATCAGGACGGAAGCAGGCAGCATTTGCTGGAAGACTGACGCGAGCACGCGCAAAGATGGTGAAGTCGCCTAGATCAGCGAAATGAAAAACTTCGGTGCGCACTCCTCTTTCGGCACGTAAGAAGAAGGTGACGCCGCTTGCCACTCGGACCGAGACTCCGAACATGAAGGGATCGTTGGCGCGCTTCAAGTACCGCAACATAATGATGCAGGAGTTGAAGCTGTTGGACGCCAGCGAACTGCAGCGTATCTGCCGGGAGGAAGGGGTGTCGTACGATGGTAAGGTGGATGCGATATTTGATGTCGCCGACCATCGCACGTACCTGAAGTTTGAGGTCGAGGAGGCACCGGAGCTGCAACCCGAAACCATCAACATTGAAGACTCTGAAGCTGTCGGACCGAACGAAGGGAGCGATGCAACAAACTAATGGGACCTACGAGTGCCTCAGCTGTAGGTTGTCTGTCAATTTCTTGCGAAGTGGCGGTGTAGCACTGATCAGCCTGATAGTCGGTTGATGCCCTGTTTGTAACTGTAATTCTGCTTTTAGCTGTTAATAAGGCAGTCAAGTGGCTCGATAAGTTCCCGTGTAATTGGTTGGAACTGTATAACAAGCATGGGGTAGACTTTGTGAATCTATCGGACTGTGTATATGTGGCTATATCTCCATTTTGCAAGCATGCATATGTTGGGAAAACCACGCGTAATACAACAGTTAGGTGGAGGGAACATTTGTATATTTGTCGGAAACATTCTAAATCACATTTCCACCGTTGGTTGGTGAATTTTGGGTCGGGTAATTATGCCCTAATTCCTGTTGACGTTCTAGGGGGATAGGACCGCGGCCAATTGGAACTCACGCATATCAAGAAATGGTCACCATTCCTGAATACGTTGGGAACTAATAAGATCAAGGAGAAGAGACGTGCGAAGATTAAGCCAAGGAAAAGGGAACGTTTGAGAGGTAAGGGAAAGGGTCCTTTGGTGACCAATACTAGGATAGCCCCTGTTAAATTTCTTCGGGAGGGTGATGTGGAGTGGACTTTTGACTTCTATCGCCAACTGGAACGGAGTAAGGATGAGGTTGGAACTCCGAGTCGGATAAGCACAGATGGTGGTAATGTTTGGTTTCCTCGGTGGCGTAAGCTGATTAAGACTTTCGGGAAGTATAAATTGAAGTTTGGACCGTCGTGAACTTTTGGAAAACGGTGGTGTGTTTGAGATCATATATGTTTGTAAATAGCAATCTCGTTGTGGTTTTATGAAGAAACTGATTATTGGGATCCTAAAAAATCCCGGGAAGCTGAGCTTGTTGTATGGTTGGGGTTTGAAATCCTACCTTCGGATCTATCATGTGATTAAGGATTTTTCGCGTAAATCGACACAGAAGTACTTGAGGCGGTTGATTTCTTGTCAAATTCGAGGAAGGTTTGGATTAAGTCTTGCTGCAGGTTTGACTTTTAGAATCCAGTTTGACGATAGAATTCGGATTAGTGAGGTCTGAAAGTAGCGAATGATGCACTTATGAAATGTGACCTACCTACCTGCTTTTTGCATAGGGCTCGAAAGAAGATGCGTATCGTAGGGACAAAAAATCCCACGATCGCTGATGTATTGCGCAACCAGCGTTGTTTCTCGAAACGCAGTGTGCTCACCTGTACCTGTACGGGTTTGCCTTACCCGAGAAGGGAAGGCCATGTTATCTTTCGACTATGTGAACTGCCGGGAGTGTCACCTTTCTTGGCTAACGCTAATAACATACCATGTGTGCGTAAAGAAAGGAGGAAAGTCAGCATGTGCGAGGAATTGCTCCAAGGATTCCTCAGGTGGAAAAATCTTCAAGGAAGTCCACCTTCTTTTAATCGTGATTGTGTAAAGAACTGTATAAGGGACGAGGAGGCGACTCTGTGTCGATGGCAGAGGTCGAAATCTGGAAACAGAGGTTCGAAGATTTGGTGGTAACATATGTTGACCGCAATTCTGGTGAAATTGTTGTGATGTGTCCTCAATTGTACTATTCTGCTATGCTAAAACTGTTCGTACTGAATTCGGGATACAGGGTGGTGAAGGAACCGGTATCATGTGTAGTCCGGGAGATGGTGGAGGATGTGTCTGCGTATAATTTGACGAAGTTTGCTCGGGTGAACGTGAAGGGAAACTTTGGGAATGCTTACGTTATCCCAAAGCATAAGGACTTGAGTCGTTTCCGACCTATTTGTCCATCATTTTCGGACCCTCTAGCTCGCACTGGCAAATTGGTGTCCAAGGCTTTGAACCATTTGCTGTATAATGTTCCGAGGGGCTGGCACTTTAATTTACGATCGGTGTCTGACCTGGTTACTTCATTAGAGCAGGGGAATCGGAAGTTGGGACGCCTCGACAGTGATCATAATGTGACTATGTATTCCTTTGATATTAAGGAAATGTTTACAAAGTTGCCCCATGCGGCGATCATTGACGCGGTGAATTGGTTGATTGATTGGCACGTGTCCAGGAATCGGACAATGATTCGGGTGAATACGCGGGGGAGAGGAGCCAACTTCGGTTTGACCACCGGAGCGGACTATGGGGATATGCTAGAACTGCAGGACATAAATTCTTTTGTTAGTATAGATCTGCGAAACACTTACTTCTTCGCGACCAGTGTTCTATTGAAGCAGGAGGTGGGCATCCCCATGGGGAAAAGCACTAGCCCACCGCTGGCCTGTATACTTTGTGCCTATGCGGAGTACCGTTTAATAGGGAATCTCGGGCGTCGGGCTAGCCACCTGTTCGCGACACGCTTGATGGATGATGTCCTCCTCGCTCTGGCTTGGAAAAAGGAGGATGATCAAGATATGCTATTGCAAGCATTTCGTAGCTGCTATCATGAGGGTCTGGTACTGGAGCAAACCGATGACGGGAAGGGGACTACCTAATTTTTGGGATGCAAAGTCGTAGCTAGACAGAGTTACCCTATGTTGAGCTGCGTACGCCGTACAAATGTCCTGGAATGAGGATTGCATTTGGACTAATGATCCGCTAGTCCATAAGAATGGTAAGTCTTATTGGTCATGGGGATGCAAGCGACAGAAAAGCGCAGTTGTCTGTGGGTATTTGCACAAAATTGAGCGGAGTACGTCCGTTCGATCGGAGATTCCTATACGGAAATTGACACTGCAAAAAGGAATTATACAAGCGTGATTTCCCGTTTGAATTCTTTGAGAAAGTGCTTCGTAGATTTGTTGTTGGTAAAGACAAAGCCTGGGCAGCTACGCTGCGTCTAATTAGTGCTTAGGGGCAGCGTCTTAAGTTTCTCGGATTAGGAACCATCGGGGCTTCGGGTTGGGGGTGGAGTTGTGCGAGGTTTTATGATCGTGAATAGTTGATGGGCTGGAATTGGGGTCGTGGTTTGTAGCGATCAGGGATGTAAGTTAGGACGATAGAATGAATGTAAACAGGGTTGAAAATTAGAGGAAAACAGGGCGACAGGAATTGAAGTATTTTTGGGGGTACTGTCGTCTGTGATAGGCGAGATTATTCTGGCGGAGGTAGGCCCGGTGTTATTGTAGTTGCTTCGAGTTTATTAGGGACCCTAAATTTTGGGTTAGCCTTGTGGGTCGGAATGAAGTAACCTTTTGAGAATAGGGCCTTCGAACCCTTGGTGATTCTGGGTGGGCGGTACGGGACCCTTAGACGATATTGGTTTAAGCGTCTGGGTACCTGTGCGTTTTCGTGAAACAATGGGCTATAATAGGAGCAAAGTCAACGTGGTAGTTCCTTTAGGTTCTGGAGTTGTTTCCCGTCCGCTAAGTCCGGACGAGGTGGTCGGGTATAGCTGCAGTGGGAAAGGTGGAAAGAACGGAGGTTTCTGGGTGTTGTGGGATTGTCATGGTTGTTGATTACCTATCGAGTTACTGTGTATGACTTTGACCTTGTGTGGTTTGGGCGCACCAGCACCACGTTTATGCTGCACTTCTACGTGTTTACTGCACTGTTTGGTGATTCTCACATTCTTATATATATATATATATATATATATATATATATATATATATATATATCAAACGTATGTGACTACCTTTCAACCTTGGTATAGTCAAAACGAGGGTGTGTTGTATTAGGGATAACTCAAATCAACTTAAAGAAAAACTAACTCCTTCGATTTAACAACAATTTCGACAACACTTCTCCTAGTAATGGAAACTCCCAGAATTTCTACTGAGTCAAAGGATCCGACCAACCCTAATCCAAAAACTCCTCTAAATGTTGACGAACTCTACAGATTTAGTAAAAAAAATGGCAGGATTATCCATAAAGAAGGATTTTCTCAAAATTTCTATCAACTTGTAAGTTAACCAAAGCCTGACCAAAGCAAACGTCCATAGAAAGACAAATGCAAAGACAAAACAATGACGAATGTCTGTGTATCACTCAAGCATAAGACGAGCACTAACAGACTAAGTTATCAATGGAAAATGACAAAGCACGTAAACATGCATAATCAAAATATATGACACTTGAGCAAAGGAAGTTCAAAGTTTCATCGTCTACACTTACATGTGCACTCAATTTTTCCAAAGCAAATAGTCTTGCATCTGCGTTAAAATGAATTCTAACTTTTCAAGTTCTTCTTAACAAAACGCATACTGATCATCAAGACACCCACTTAAATTGTCCCAGAAGGAGACAAGTCAGACCTTTTCAACAAACAAACGACTTAACAACAAAGCGTCCGGATCAGTACGACATTTTGTCCAGACCCATTCAAACCATCGCATGCAAATATGACAACAAAGTGTCTGAATCAGTCGATACGACATCCTATCTATGCATATTTAAACCATCGCATGCAAACATGACAGCAAAGTGCCCAGATAAGTCGATACGACATTCTGTCCAAACTCATTCAAATCATTGCATGCAAAAAAAATAGCAAAAGGTCTGGATTAGTCGATACGTATCATGTTCATGCCCGTTTAAATCATTGCATGCAAACATGACAATAAAGCATCCGGATCAATCGATACCACATCCTTTCCAGACCCATTCAAATCATCACAAACAGATATCATGATAATTTTATTTCAAGCAGATGAATTTGAACAAACATAAAAAATTATCTTGATTTAATTAAAGTATAAAATAAAAAGTCAAAAAAATATATAAAAGGTCAAAACCAGTTAAACCGGATCGAGGGTATTATAGGTAGGGGTATATGGGATCCTAAAAGAGATCGTGTTGGGCTACCTTACGTTTTCTGCCTTCAGGGTCCTTCTATCGAGGCAAAAACCGTAACAAGGGTATCTGCCCCATAATTTTAAATTTTGGATAGAGTCCGACTATTGCTTAGTTATTTTTTGCACACTTTGACCTAATGAGATTGAAATTTTGTCAAAATCTATTGAGCCAGGACCTACAACTAATAGGATAGAACTTATTTATCTAAGCTCACACGTCTGCGGCTTGCAAAAACGATAATCAGGACAGATAGTATAACCGACCGCTGTATGCGCTTGGTGAGACCACAGCCACCCCGCAGAGACGTACGGTCATATTACTAAATCTATCTATTCATGTTTCGGTTATGGGGGGTAACCCCAAAACAAATCGTTTAGTTATGACTAACCAGATAAATAGTATTCGAATTGCCACAATGATGATACTATCATGCTTCGATATTGAGGGGTAATCACGCTCGCATAAAAAAGTTGACGTGCAATTGTTGGTCAAAATAATTGTTTCGCTTGTGGTATTGGGGGTTGTTGATGAACAGGTGATTGTAGGACTACCGATGCATGAGTGGGCATCAGGTGGCTACGATGTACGAGCAGCAGCGTCACAATGTCTAACAAACCCAATCGTTCGTTAGTTTCACCATTCCAAGAATCGTGGGTTTGTGCTAACCGAGACTAAATGTATTGATTCATTTTTGTGGGTTGTTCGTTATTACGGCAACACTATTTTGCCGATGATTTGAGACGTGCGACAGTCGTAAATACTATTTTTTTGCATATATATATAAGGTTACCAACCCGTACGTACGGAGGTCCCCGGGCCGACCTCCGTACATACGGGCATTCGGGGTCCCGTACGGGGTTCGAACCTGACAGTATTTGGCCCTCGTCAAAACTTACTTCGGGGCCTAAAATTAATTTTGGTTTTCTGATTTTTTTTTGGTGAGTTCTCTATAACGTAAGTTACATACCTACACAGTTTGACATCATTTGGCTCAGCCAAAAAAGAATAAAAAATCTCCAAAGATGGCGGTGTCAAAACCTACTCGCCCACGTTTTATTTCATTTTTTACTTTTTTTTTCCACTTTAGTTCGGGGTCTAAATAATTTTATTATTTTTTGAAAATTTTAAAGTGGATTTTGTATTATGTGAAGTACATATCTGTCAATTTTCAGGGCATTTTGCTATGCCAAAAAAAATATGAAAAATCTCAGAAGATGACGGTGTCGAAAACGTGTTCGCGCACTCACTAAATTTAATTCTTTTTTTTAAAAAAAATATTAGTATTTGTTCTCAGTATTTTATTTTTATTTCAAATTTGGTAAGGAACATGGGTGTAATGCTTAGGCAAATCCTGTTTAGTTCATTTTTCTTCATAACATATCTTCTTTTTATATTTTTCTGATTTTTTTTTTTTTGGCCGGGGGGTGTGTCCGCTTTCGGCTCGAACGGCCTAACGCATCCCCAAGGGGTCCCATACATTCGGGCGTTTGGGTTCGCGCGTTTGGGTTCGCGCGTTTGGGTTCAGGCGTTCGGGTTCGGGCGTTCGGGTTCGAGCACTCGGCCCGTCCCGAACGTCGATGACCCTGTAAATATATATACATATATATAATGGATTACCTGATCCAACGTTCGGGGGCCCCCAGGCTGGCCCCCGAACGTTCGGGGTTCGGGGTCCCATTCGGGGGCCGAAGACCTCCAGGTTCGGCCCCCGCCAAAACAAATTTCGGGGCCTAAAAATAATTTTTTATTTCTAAATTTTTTTTTGTGAGTTCTCTATGATATAACCTAAACGCGTATAAATTTTGAAGCCATTCTGCTAAGCCAAAAAAACATTAAAAAGTTTCAAAGATGGGGGTGTCAAAACGTGCTCGCCCACTCACTATTTTCTTTTGTTTCACTTTTAACTTTTTGTTTTCACTTTATTTCGGGGCCTAAAAAAAAATATTATTTTTGGAAAAACTTTTAATGAGTTATTGATTATTTAAACTACATATCTGTAAATTTTCAGGGCATTTGTCAATGCCAAAAAATAATTAAAAATTGGCAAAGATGGCGGTGTCGAAAAGGTGCTGACACACTCACTCATTTTAATTCTCTTTTTATTTTTATTTTTTTTTATCATAGTGTTTATTTTCTGTATTTGATTTTTAATTCAAATTTGGTAAAGAATTTGGATGTAGTGCCCAGGCAAAGGTTGTTTAGTTTATTTTTCTCCATAACATTTTTGTTTTACGAAATTGTTGAAAACTTGTTTTTTTTTTTTTTTTTTTTTTTTTTGGGGGTCCGCGTTCGACCCGAACGAGCGAACGCATCCCCAAAGGGTCCCATACGTTCGGGCGTTCGGCCCGTCCCGAACGCCGGTTACCCTGTACCCGGTATATAGGGTTTGCCAGCGTTCAGGACAGGCCGAACGTCCGAACCCGAACGTTCCAACGTTTGGCACCCCCTCTCAACGCGTTCGGCTGAACAACCGAACGCGGAACCAAAAAAAAAAAAAAAAAAAAACGAATTCAAAAAAATCTAAAAATATATATGTTATGCAAAAGAATAAACTAAAAAATATTTTCCTCAACATTATATCCAAATTCTTTACAAAATTTAAAGTAAAAATCAAATACTATAAATAAATAATAATAATGAAAAGAAAAAAAAAACGAGAATGAAATTATCCAGTGGGCGAGCACGTTTTTGACACCGTCATCTTTGGCGATTTTTCATTTGTTTTGGGCAGTGAAAAATGTCATGAAAATTGATATATATGTATCTTACATAATACAGAATCTACAAATTAGGTTTGAATTTTTTTTTTTTTTTCATGTTCCGAAATAAAGGAAAAACAAAAAGTGAAAAAAAAGAAAAAACAAATTAGTGAGTGGGCAAGCAACTTTTGACACCACCATCTTTGAGGATTTTGCATTTCCTTTTGGCGGAATAGAATGGCTTGAAAATTAAGAGGAAGATACCTTACATCACAAAGAATTCACAAAACAACATTCAGAGAAAAATAATAATATTTAGGTGTCAAAAAAGTTTTTTGCGGGGTCCGAACCCCTTCAAGTTCGGGCCCCGTACGGGGACCCGAACGCCCGAACGTTTAGGGGTCAGCTTAGGGGCCTCTATACGTTCGGCCTGGCAACCCTGTATATATATATACTAAATTGTTTATCATTTACGGCTGGATTCAGTGACCGGAATATCCGGCCGCTTTATCTGGCATCCTGTTTATCCGGAATTCCAGATAAACCGAAAAATGACCGATTTGTTTTTATTTTTTATTTTTTTTTTATTTTTTTGCGCTTGAAGATTACTCCAACAGGTTCAAATATGGTTTTTTTTTTCTCCTCCTCCTTCCTATCCGCCTCCTCCCTACTCTGCTCGTCCTCCGCCACTTATGCATCCTCCTCCTCCTCCTCTACTTTGTCGTCCTCGTCCTCCTCATCCTCCTCCTCCTCCTCCTCTTCCTCCTATTTTGCACCTTCTTCTTCATCCTCCTCCCCTTCCTCCTCTTCATCTTCCTCCTCCTCCTTGTCTTCTACTTCGTTTTCCTCCTCCTCCTTGTCTTCTACTTCGTCTTCTTTCTTCTCCTCCTCCTCCTCCTCTCCTTCCTCCTCCTCCTCCTCTCCTTCCTCCTCCTCGTCCTCTTCTAATTCTTCTTCTTCTTCCTCCTCCTTCTCCTCCTCCTCATCATCATCCTTCCTCCTCGTCCTCCTCTTCCTCCTCCTCCTCCTCCTCTACCTCGCCATCCTTCCTCTTCCTCCTCCTCTTCCTCCTCCACCTCCTCCTCCTCCTCATCCTCGTCATCCTTCCTCTTCCTCCTCGTCGGCCCTTTTCTCCTCCTAGTACTCCAATCTTTTGCTTCACTCGACAACACTTTCCAAGAGCTCCAAGCCTCCAACCACCATCAGGGAAGCTTTAGAGGGAACGAGCTACAAAGCGGATCGATTAGGCTTTCGCCTCTACCGCCCTGACCCACTTTTTTTTTCCCCTTAATCAATTAATCAATCAATCAA